GTTCTAGGCCATGTGACAGTCTCAGCTTCTGACATGCACTGATAGTTCCAGATATTACACACACACACACACACACACACACACACACACACACACGAGCGCACAGTTGGACTAGCCACACAATAGTCAAAATGCCCGTGAAAAGTGATGTTATATCCTTTCTTGGGGTTGGGGAACCACACCTGACCCCTCCAAATGAGTTTTGGTGCCCAGGGAAGGGAGCCCTCCATTTCACAGAAAGCACTTCCATGAGAACTTGGCCTCTTGCCTGCTTCTTTGCCTCTCAGAGCTCACAGGAAGAGACCCTGTTATCAAGTAGCCAGCCAGTACACAGTGTGAAGAATTGTGCTGATTTCCAGAAAGAAGGAAATTCCTTTGTTCCAGCTAGCTTGTCTGGGAACCTTATCACATTATCTGTGGTGTGGCTCTTCTGCCACAAGAGACACAAGTGTTGACTACGGAGCTTGAAGGGACATCTCTCCTCTGTGGCTGATAGGCTCCATTGTCCCTGCAGAAGGGGACAAACCTAGAACTAGGTGCTTATTGCCTGTCTACTGTACCCACTGGTGAGGACTCTGCAGTTAAGTCTTCCACCCTTCACCGGGGGATGCTTGCTGCATAACCTTAAGCTGGGACGGGCTTTGGCTGAGCAAGTACATGCTCCAGTGGAACTGGGGGTGGCAGTAAGCCATATTCTAACACAGTGCCTCTCTCCATAGTGCTGTCACTGTCATTGATGCAATCTGACTGAGCAGGGAGGGGTGCTGTAGACCTAAAATGGCTTCTTGTAAAATTCCCTCCAGACTACAAGTGCCAGGCTTCCAGGTGCACATGGTGCCGGGAAAGTTGCCAGGGGTAGTAGAGTGACTACCAGCCCCCCACCCCCGGCCTTCTAAGCCTTCCATAGAGGGCTCTCTGGATAGCTTTCTTCCATCGGCCTGTTGCCTCTTGTCTTTCTCTAGCGGGATTTGTCTCCAGGGGTGAGGCTCTCCTGCCTTCTTTTCATTGCCTGTCTAGTATCTTCCTAGAAATGCATCTTATCAGAGAAGAAAGAAGCTGAAAAAAAAAAATTCTCTCCACCTTCCACTACTACACTTCTCCAACCCCACCCCATCCTCTTGTCTGAAGTCAAAGCTAGTTCCTTGTTCAGTAGAGGGAGGGGTTGGTGCCTTGGTGAGGTGTGGTCTACCAAGATAGTGCCACCTTTTGTATATCTCAGCTGGATATTTGCATCCATGAGCAAGAAGAGACAAATGTCATCTGCGATTTTAATGTTCTTGATTCAAAAAAATTCTGCTGCCAGCACATTTCTAAATAAGCTATTCACTTGCTTTGAGCACCTCCACACTTCCCCCTCCCACCCTCAACCCACTGGCTTGATCGTCTTGTTTATTAATTTCTGGCCAAATGCTTCAAAGGGGTGCATCCTGCCCAAGGGCATCCAGAGGCAACAGTCCCTCTTTCCTCTGCTGAGGTAGGGGCCAGGCCCTGCGTGGTTTGGTCCACTTTGGATCTTGAGTCTCCTTCTCAAGTGCGGTATCATTAATCTCTTCTCACTCCTATGACAAGTGTGAAAAAAAAATCCACTTACATGTTCTTCAAAGCCACAAGAGAAGTGAGGGCCTCCAGCGACAGGTCCCCAGGCAAGAGGGACTCCACTGTCCACTTCAGATGTTCTTGGCAGCTGTTGAGGGCAGAGGAGTGATGCCACAGGAGCCAGGAGGGGGGAGTGAGCCTTCTAAAGTTGAAGGCAAGCGAATTTCCATCACTGTTTCTTCAAAACATGCTAGCTAAGGTCCACGGCTGCTGGAAGTTTCAAAATCAGTAAGAGCTTACTTTTATGATGGAGATTGCTTGGAATTTTGAGGGCATGTTTCTGGGGGTTTTTTGTTTGGTTTTTTTAAAAATATTTTTTATTTTATATGCTTTGGTGTGAGGATGTCAGATCCCCTGGAACTGGAGTTGTGAGCTGCCCTATTGGTGCTGGGGATTGAACCTAGGTCCTCTGGACGAGCAGCCAGTGCTCCTGATCACTGAGCTATCACTCCAACCCCTCTGATTTTGTTTTTTTTTTTAAAAAAGACAGAATCTCAGTGTGTCCCTGGCCTGGAGCTTGCTCTGTAGGCCTCTGCCTCCCAAATGCTGGGATTAAAGGTGTCATCACCATCTCAGGCCTATGATAGATTTAAAAAAAAAAAAGCAAATAAAGTTTAATCTACTGAAAGGGTATAAAGCGGAGGCAGAATTCACCTGTTTGATAGACTGGGGCTCTCACTAGGAAGGTGTGGTGGTCTTAGAAAGAAGCTAAGATGAAGCCTAAGGCAGTGTCACCTTTGGCCACCCCTCTTCCAGACACAGCGCAGTCTCTGGCTGTGTGGATGCCGGGTCTCCCTCAGTAGCCAAGGTGCGTTCCAAGCTTTCTCTTCCCCAGTCTGGAGTTTCCACCTGAGCTAATGTAATCGAAATGCACTGTGGTCAGATTTGCTTTAGCTGTCAGCTCACTCGGTTAGGGTGTTCTGCTTTTATTACTTATCTGTTTGTTCTGTTTTGTTTTTAACCAAAGAAAAAAAAAGTTTAAATCCCCCCCCCCTTTTCCTTCTCCTGCAGGAGGTGAGTGTGTGGGTGTCCTGTTAGGACCATTAGCAGCACCCCAGGCTTAGCCAACCTTCAGGTTACCATTCCCACCCCATCCCCTCCCCCCTCCATCCCCTGCTCTGCACCCCAAAAGAGGACTCTGCCGCCATCATTACTGTTACGTTAAGATACCTGAACTTTTCATGACATATCCCATCCTCTGACCACTTCAGTATTGCCAATTTTCATGCAGGGTATAAATGGAAGGGTGGGAGGGAGGGAGGGAGTAGCCAGTGGGGGTGGGGGGAGAAGGGAGGGATACAGAGTGGAGATCTTTTTATTTTCTCTTTTAAAAAAAAAACACACACACAAATTCGTCATTTAATGGATCCAAAAAAAAATGGGATGAAATATACATACACGCACACATACACACAAAAATAAATTCAAAATCCCTTTCCCAAAGATTTTTTTTTAATCACACAAAATTGCTTTTGTTTCCTGTCATGTTTTAATATCAATATTAACACAATGTGTAGTCTAAAACTAGTTCCTTTGTAGTTTGCATGGGATGTGAATGCTGTCTCAACGTGCCCAAACCTAGAAGACTGCATGAGCGTCAATTCAGATGTGAAAAAAAAAATCTCTCTTTCTCTCTCTCTTTCTCTCTCTCCATATATATCTCTATTTCTATTGTGATAACCTGGTGGGCAGTGAAGCACCTCCGGTTGGTTGCCATACTGTGTTGAATGATTGTTTTTTTTCTTCTATCTCTGGAGCTCCAAGCTTCTTAGTGATAGCCTGGGCTGAGTATTCTTGAGTCCCTGCTGATGTTTTCGCATGGCCTTGGTTGAGTGTTAGAAGTTGGGCCTCAGCTGTTTTTTTTTTTTCTTGAGTGTTTGGCTTGTAATGATCGGTGCATGCCTGGCTTCTGGCCTCATACCCAGCTCTATTCTCTGCACACCAGTCCTGAATAGCTACAGTGCTCAACCGAATTTTGGCGCGCCCGCTTCCCCGGCAGGCTCCAACCCGGCGCGGCCCGGAGGTTTCCCGGGGGCCAACAGCCCAGGACCTGTCGCCGATCTCTACGGCCCTGCCAGCCAGGACTCCGGAGTGGGGAATTACATAAGCGCAGCCAGCCCACAGCCGGGCTCAGGCTTCGGCCACGGCATAGCTGTAAGTACTTGCCTCGCTGCCCTCCTCCTCCCTCACCAACGTCACACAGCCCATGGGGAGGAAAGTCTAGAACTAAGGGCAGAGGAAGAGACAGTGTGACCCCCATCAACACCAGGCCAACTAAAGCTTTCATCTGCTGGCCCAGTCGTGTAGTGTAAGGTGTATGGTCCGCTCTGTTAACCTCTCCCATCACGTTTGGGCTTTGTAACCTTGAGCCAATTCATACAATCCATACAAAGTAAGAATAGGATACTTTAAAAAAAAAAAAAAAAGCTAGGTGAGAAAGCCTAAGTCATGTTCTGGCATATGGTAAGTCCTCATGCCATATCTGTCACCTCAGTAGGCAGTGTCCCCACTCTGCTGTCCACTGGGGTCAGTGGTGCCCAGAAGGTGGTAGGGGAAGCTCCTCCCCAGGCCGTTTTCTTTGCTAATGTTTCTTACAGCCTTCAGGTTCCAAGTAAGTTCCTATTTCCATTCTTTAGCTGCAGTTCCCCAAAGGCCAGATGCATTTGATATCTGTGATGCTCTGTGGTTCTATAATCTGACTAATCCAGGCAATGGAAATTTGCTTAAGAGATTTGCATGCTGTTTTCAGATGTATTGTTCTTTTCCCTCCTGGTGTGTGAGCATGAATGTGCCTGAGCCCACTTGCCAGTCTCTGCCCTAGCCAGCCTCCTTCTTCTGGAGGCAATTTGGTTTTGAGTTGAAGTGGGGGTGTCTGCTATCCCAGGTTACATCCTGCATCAGATTCTGTATCTGGGAGAAAGCTGGCAAAATCTGTCTTGGGGACCATGCAGGGGAGACCAAAGCCATTGTAAGAGTCTGAAGAACCAAGGCAACTTCATTCATGCCTCGTGTGCACACATACGCTCGCGCACGCGCGCGCGCGCACATACACACACATGCACACACGCATGCACTCACATATGTGCACACACTGTCTAATACATTCTCACACATGTCAGCCAACCCTAGCCTATGCTTCCTGAGTCCTCTTTCAATTCTGCTCCAAAGCCAGTATTACTTGAATCAGTAGTTTGATGAGTCTAATCCCCTCGGATCAACTGTAGTACCAAATCCAGAACATTGTTATTCAGCCCAGAGCTGCATCAATTTGGGGGCCTGTCGATCAGCACTCAGAACACGACTCATTTCCATTTTCAGCAGCGAGAAATACACATCTTGTTTGTTCTTGAAAACCTGGATCTTGGGACCTTCACACTGTGATGTTATTTCTGAAATAATCACAGGCCATCAACGTTGATCACCACTGACATTTCTTCCCCCAAATTATTCTGTTGAGACTGAGGACAGAGACCCTTGTATTTGCCCTGTGGCGTTCATGGCCACTGTCACCATCATTTGTTTAAGGCATGAGCCTCACTTTCCTACCTACTCACCCTTCAGAATCTGGCTCTTGGTTTCCCCTTGGGAAGCAGACAAGCTTGGGTGGGGGATCACTGGGCAGGAAGGAAGGAGCTGGGGATGGCGTCACCCTGACTCCCCATGGCATGGTGTCTCAGAATTACATATTCATGCTGGCAACCACCGACTCTAGTCCTAGAGGTGATCTCCTTTCCCAGGATATGACAATCTGTTCCCATGTATAACGCACTGATGACCTTAACAATTGTGCAATTTTAGGGACCTTTGATTGCAACGGCCTTTACAAATGGATACCACTGAGCAGGTGCTTCCATTGCCATCTCACTATGAGGTATTACCGTCTCTGCCGTGCGTCTCCGCCCTGCCTGCGTGTCCGTACACATATGTGCCCGCTCATACGTGTACACACATGCACATCACATCACATCTCTTTCTTCTCTCTTTGGACCCCCTTTCCAAGGAAGTGGGATCAAAAATAAATCCAATATCTTTATTCTCTCATTTCGTCCTCCAGCTTTTAATCATGACCTGCGCCCCGCCCCCAACTCCCCATTTTGCTCATTTTGATTTGGTTCTTTTGGCTCCGTTTCTGTATCTTCTCCACCCTCATCTTTTTCTTTCTTGAGTGGGAAACTGGAAGGTGATCTCACATTGTGTCCATTTCAGGCAGAATGGAGGCAGGTTAACTGGTCTTGTGCCAGTCCTAGGGTCAGAGGATGGGGAGCAGGGCCATTCTCAGAGTCCTGTGAACTGCCCCTGTGGGTTGCTGGGGCTCACAGCCAGTGGGGTTTATGCAGCCAGCCAGCCTAACTCCATCTTTTAGTGAAAGGAAAACATTTTTTTGCCAGTTAACTATGGAGTAATTATCAAGATTACCACAGGAAAAGCCAATTAAATTAACAGCATCACCTGCCTAACGTGAATTTGGATCCCTGCCAGTTTCTTAACCTTTTAAACTGAGCTCAAGTTAATTAAACATTTTTAAATCACTTTGATGGGAATCCAGAGGTGGTGGGAGAGACGGGAGGGAGATTGGGCAGGTAGTGAGCAATCCTCTTACCACAGTCTCCAAAACTGAGTGTCAGGCTTGGGAAGACTTCAAGGCAGAGGGGTGTTATCCTCATGGAAGCCCGAGGTTTGTCCTGCTGGCATATAAATCAGAGGATGAGACAGCCAGTAATGTGTCTCTTTAAGGGAAGGTGCCAGCTGAGGCCTTGGAATAGGTCCTACTCGGGAAATCCCAATACTTTTCACTCTTGGAGCTGGGGGAAGGAAAAGCCAGCTCCGGGTTTGTCCTCTCTCTTGTAGAGGGGAATCTTCCAGCCCTGAAGCAGCCATGACTCAGTAGACGGGGACCGTTTGAGAAACCCAGTTGAGTTGAGTTCCACAAATCTTTTAGAGCCCTCCTTTGTTGCTGCTCCACTAACTCTACTGCCTCTCTTAACCAAGTAAACCCTGTGTGTGAACGTTCCCATCCCTTCCTCCATTACCCTCCATCGCTGGCCAGAGCCAGAACCCACTAACAGTCTGAAAAAGAGCTACTCGCTACTAATAAAGCTGGGTCTTGGGGCTCGGGGACAGTAAGGTTCCTCTGAAAGCAAGGAGGACTGATAGGGCCAAGAATTCTGAAGGTTGAAGATGGCTTTAGTGTCTAATAAAGAGGGACTCAAAGACTGCCTAGGCACAGCAGGTCCTTGGGAATCCAGCCACTGGGTCTGTCCGTATCTACTCCTTAGCCCCAGCATCCCCTCCTCACAAGGCCACCTATATGTCCTTACCGCCAGCCTATGTCCATCATCCAGCCCTCGGTTTCCACATAAGGATAAAGTAGCCAGGAGAACAGTAGCTCAGAATCCACCCCTTCTGGTCAAGTCACACGATTGCATAGCACCTGTGGAAGACTTGGCAGGCATGTCATCTGTCTCTGACAGAAGTGACCCTCTGACATGTAGTCACTATTCACAGAAGAACCCAAAGCTCACAGGCCATGCATGATAACCCAGTTAGCAAGCCTGAGTCCTGGGTCTGTTTTGGTTTTCTTGGACCAGAACTGGTTATTTGGGGTTTTTTTGTTTTTTGTTTTTTTATGGTTTTGTTTGTTTGTTTTTAAACAGTTATATCAGTCCCTCTGTATATCATCTCCTAGTATGGATTCACATTATTAGTTATTAACAGCTAACAATAGGTTTATTACCCCCCACCCCACCCCTTTTCATTTTTGGTTTTTTAACACAGGGTTTCACTGTATAGCCCTGGTTGACCTGGAACTCATTCTGTAAACCAGGCTGGTCTTAAAGTCACAGAAATCCGCCTGCTTCTGCTTACCAAGTGCTAGGATTAAAGGCATGCACCACCACTGCCTCTGTTGACAATATTTTTTCTTAAACATAGCTTTGAAAACAAAAATTTAAGCAGAAGGGTTGTTTTGTTTGTTTTCAATGTGTGATTTGACCAATCAGTGGAAACCCATTCTGACTCTACCTCCCTCCAGGACCTCCAGAACATTCCAACCCTGTATCAGCTCTGTCTGTCAGGCACGGCCTAGATAATCTGGTTTACCAAGCTAGGAAATGAGCCATTAGCTCAGCTGTTTTTCATACACACAGTCACACAACTTAATCCTTTGACAACTGTAGTTTTGTAGTTGAGACTCTGGCAAGAACCATGTGTGGGCCTGACATTTCTCTTCTTCCTCCCACCCCCATTCTGTGTTCTCTCTGGGACGCGCCTGACCTCTCGACGCTACAGAGCATACCTGGATGTCCAGGCAAGACTGGGCGAAGTTTCTGAGTGGCCCTTTGTTTAGGTGACGTCCTCAGACCTGGACCCCCGCCAGCCTCACTCCTCATCCCAACCAGAGGTGGCACACTTGGCTTGAGAGTTGACACATCTCATCTCACCCATCGGCTACCTGCTGTAACATAAGACAACAGCCTTTAAACGTGTATATAATCCATGATTTTGGTTTGGTTCTGTTTGTTTTCCTTGGTGGTCCCCTGTCCCTCTCCCTCACCCTCTCCCTCTCCCTTCTCCTTTTAAATCTCCCTCAATCACATTTGGTAGTGATTTTTGACTTAGTCTGGTAGTCACCTAGCTTAATATCTAGTTAAAAGCTAACCATAGTATACTTGTTATATATTAAGGAGTTTTTTTTTCTTTCTTTCTTTTGTTTTCTTTTTTCCTTTAATGAGAATTTTTGTTTTGTTTTGATTCTGTTCTCACTTTTAACGGATGCTGAGATGGTGATGTTACTCTCCATTTTTGGTACCAATTCTGAGACTGTAAGACTTTTCACCTGGGACTTTAGCACACACTGAATTGGAGTTGTGATATGCGGACCGGGAGGTGGGCATAGACTCTATTTTGTGTTGTAGAAGTGACATACAGTTAGCTGCCTAACAGACTCTGTAGCGGTTCATTTTTGTGACGTCTCTTTGTTAACCTAAGTATATCTATTTTCGGCAATAAGGTAAGGACGGCCATGTTTTGAGGGTCCTCCTTTTCTATGAGTGCTTTTTCTTTTTTTCTGTTCAAAGAGGTCATATTATAAGGTTTTTTGAAATTGTGAATTCTAAAAAACAAAAAACAAACAAAAAAATGTTGTAAATATAATTCCATTAACTACATAGAAACTATTAAGGAAGAGAGAATCAAAAATATTTTTGTGAGGGAGTTGCTCCCAGGCAGTTAGGTACCCTGGAAGGAGGGGAGGGAACCTTGATGAAGCCGGTACTGTAACAGAGAGCACCCAGCTGCCGGGGCAACCGGACCCCCACTCTTCACTGTTGGTGTGACAGACCTAAGAGCCGCATTAGCGCCCTGCCAGCCTACCAGCCTCTCTGTGCACAGCTTCAAATGTTACGGTCTAGCTAGATTTTTATTTCAAATATGAAAAACTGCTTTTCCCAAGATGTTTTTTAAAAGGAAACAAAAGCTACAATTTTAATATTTGACATATTTAAAGTTTCAAAGCACACCTGTTTTGGCTTAGGGGAGGGGCAGGGTGGGGGCATTCTTTTTCAGTCTTAATTTTTAAATATCTGATCATTTTATATTGTCCGATCATTTCAGCACCTCCAAAGGGTCCTAGGATACTCTGCCTCTCTCTTCACCCCGCCCCCCATCTTGCCCCCAGACGGGGGACTGGTGGGCCAGGTGTGGATAAGCCTGCGTGAATACATCCTTTCTCCACTCACTTTCTATTTACAAATTAGGAAAGCAACCTTTCAGTTTATATATATATATTTTTTCCTTTTTGATACCTCAGTGCTGCAAGTATCATCAGAGAGGCTATGGAAGAGTTTTGTGTTTTTTTTTATTTATTATAGATGTAAACAGAATTTTAAAAATAAAATATAAACATCACTGCACTGTGACTGGTGGGAAAAACTGACAGCTTCCTGTTTGCACAAGTTTGACATTTGGCTGTTATAATATATGGTCCTCAGTTGGGGAAAGACACTTAGGATGAAGGATGTTTTTTAATTTAACTTTTTTTTTTTTTAAAGAAAAATATCGGTAATAGGTCGGCAACAGCAACTGTAGGAAGTTCAACTCAGTAGGTAGCATTAAAGCATACTGTAGTGTGGATATATTTTTTTTTCTTTTTTAAAATGTGATATTGACATTTTATTAATATTTTTTAAATTGTTACGTTTATAAATTTGGTACTTAAGGCACAGCCAGTATGAGACACTGAACGCGACATTTATTACAATGAACTGCTGCACTCCTATTTTTATAAATTTTACTAACAAGTAGACTAAGGTAGACATTCACAGACATGATAGCGCAGAAGCATCTTCAAATGAAAAGTCTCCAAAAAAGCTAATTCAGAAAGGATGGGAAGAAGCCTGCTTCTATTTTACTTTTATTATTTTTTAAGAAAGAAAAATCATGTTTTGTTTTTGTTTTTTTTTTTTAAATAAAATGCTGGGTTGTTTGGTAAGGTTTGGGGTGGTTTTTTGTTTGTTTGTTTGTTTGTTTGTTTGTTTTTTGTTTTAAGTTTCCAAACAACCAAACTAAGAAAAATGCTGGATGCTTTTAAAATACAAAACTTACTCAAGTCATAAAATAACAAAATAGAACTTTTAAGAAACAACAACAAAGAGAAAGAGAGAGAGACGCTATTCCCAGCAATTCAGTGTCTAGCGAGGGGATTAATTAATTCCTCTTCTGTCCTCGTTGCTGATGTCCTGTCCCCAGCCCCTGTCCATGTCCCCTACACCCCATCACCTCATAGAACACTCTTTGTTGATCATTGTCTGTTAATAATGTATAAAATGGCTATCTTGTAAGTGTGCTGTCTTGGTACTAGCGTAGTGACTTTTTTTCTCCTCTTCTAGTACATATTGATAGGTATAACGTAATTAAGGTTTTTTAAAAAAAATAGACATAGTTATTCAGATTTAGGACCAGTAAGGATAGAACTTTCTCTTATTTATGAAAAGAAAAAAATGCTAATAATTTGGGGGCAGTTTTTTCCTTGATTATTTTTTCTCCAAGTTTCAAATTTACTTTTATTTTTGCTGAGTTGATGTTGTTTCAACTAACCCACGGTCTCACGCTGTTCAAATGCCGGCTGACTGCGGCGTTTTGTCGGTCCCTGCCGCCTGCCAGTGCAGGGTGAGCTCTACTACCTTAAATGCAAACACTAGATATGCAAAACTGGATTTTTTTAATTTATTTTTTAAAAGAGGGAGGTGTGGTATATTAAAATGATTTTACTAAGAGAAAAAAAATATTTTTTTAAGGATGCTCAGAAGAAATTGATAATCTGTGTGAATATGTTTTAGATGTTTATATACATTTTGAAGAGACCCAGTAGCCCATAGCACAAATCTTGTGAACATCTGATATGTTTTCAAGTGGCTACCTAGGTTAAGGTTCATCATTAGTACCCCACCCCACCGCCATCTAGAAGTCCATTTTAAAACAATTTTTTGTAAATTCTTTCAGCACTGATGTCCATCTTTGTCTTTGTTTCAGTTAAACTCAATAGCGAATGTGGGGAACCCCCCTCTCACCTTCCATGGGGGAGAAACCCTCTTGGCTAATGGCTCTTCCCTGGCATTATCAATAACCACCAGGGGACTCTCTGGCTTCCAGATTCATCTGCCTGAGACCCCAAGGTCCTCTCCTCCCAAGAGGGGAGATGGAGCAGCAGTTGACTCCTGGTCCCCTTCCTACTTCAGCCTGGATGTGGGGCTGGTGGAGATGACCGAGCCTGAGTCTCCACCCCAGGAGCCTCTGCATGTGTGGTTCGTGGCCTTCTTCTCACCCATTGGGAAAACCAAACAGCCTCACACTCTGTCCCCGTCGCTCATTGACTTGATTCAAGTGAAACCCCAACCAGCCTTTGTGGGTTTTTTTTTTTTTAATCCTTCATGACCATTCTCTTAATTTGAACTTGTAGCTTGGGCTTTAAGGTAGCATGGCTCAATTGCTGTCGACTCAGTGTTCCGCTGCACAGCAATTCACAGCCAGTGAATGTTACACACATCTTGCTAGACTAGTATAAAAATCATTGGGTAATTGTTGGTTCTAATGACCTGAAAGGTGTTCAGTTTGGGTTTTTTTTGGGGGGGTGCGGGGGGGTGTTTGGGAGGGATTGTTTGTTTTTCTTTCTTTCCTTTTTTAATTTGAGAATTTGGGGGGATCTTTTTTGGTTCCAAATAAGAAAATCAAAAGCTATTTTGATCTTTAGTGCAAACTAGGGCTAGGGACGTAGCCTCCATCACGACAACCACACCACACTGCTTCGCTCTGCCATCCACCCACCGCAGCAGCATCTTCAAGAATAAGCAATATAGTTTACTACATTTTTTTTAATTGAAGGTCAGCCATGCTTTCTGTATTATATTGCATATGAAATTGTTTACAGAAGAAACACTAACCCATACTTCTCTTTATCAGTTGAAAGGGACACACAGGGACAGAGGGAAATTGGAGGGCAGGTGAGGGAGGGGAGAGGGTTTTTTTGGTTTTGGGGTTTTGGTTTTTTTTTTTTTTTTTTTTTTTGGTTTTTTGAGTTTTTTTTTTTTTCTTGAATGTGCTTTACAAGCCAGATCCTCCAAGGAAGGCAAAAGCCAACCAGAGAGAGAGTAGGGAAGCAGGCAGGCTGCAGGTAAGCACACTGAACAAGAGACACTGGCAAGCTCCCCAACCTCAGCCAGAGCAGGAAGCGAACAGCTCAGCCCTGTCCTGGGCACAGACACTACACAAGGCTGGAATTGAAGCAATACTTTAATACCATTTGAGTTTGTTTCCTTTTTTTCTTTTCTTTTTTTTCCTTGCACCAAAAAGAAAAAAAGAAAGAAAGAAAGAAAGAAAGAAAGAAAGAAAGAAAGAAAGAAAGAAAGAAA